CTTCGTCCGGGTGGAATGTAACTTTACAACAAATAAAAATAAGTTACTCCTTATTACATCAGCTACCTGCCAATAAACGTCCCGTCAAAATCGGTCCAGCCATTTCAGAGATTAGCTGGAACAAACAGACAGACAGATAGACAAAAATTGTAGAAAATGTTATTATGGTGTAAGTATGCTATATGCATATGAATATAAATACGGTATATAAACGGTACAGCGCGGTACGTAAAAAACGGTTATTTTAATATTACAAACAGACTGCAATTTTATTTATATGTATAGATTAATTTATTTATTCATTTATTTCAGGCAACTAGGCCCATATTATAAATACCTTATAGACTAACATACATATAATATAATATTTAAAAACCAATACAACGATATTGTCTGTGTGATCACGGCACTGAAGACGGCAATCTGCCACGGTAGCGCCGATACACCACACCTTTCGGCCAGTAGTCCTCTTTCATGAAGGTTAATGGCTACTATGTTTATTTGGATAGATTTTACATATTTTCTGCCACTACAAGATAATATGTATATAGTATACATAAATGAATTTAAAATGAATATCAACAAAATAGCCAGCCTTCACTGAGAGAGGGTTATATTTAACTGGCATTGGATCGGTCGCAAACTACCACCTACTAATACTACACTTTCTTTGATGAAAGTGGCAGTTGATGTCTTTACTATGAAAGTACTCGGCGACCGGCGTACAGATACAATTCACTTTGTATTTTAGAATTTAGAATTGAATTAAATAATATATTACATTACAATTTAATTAATATACTTAGACGACCTCGGTGGTCCAGCGGTCTAGTACACCGCTTTACGTCCGATGGTCGCGGCTTCGATTCCTCGCACGGTACATACATTTGTATTCATGAGTATGATTGTTTGTATCAGTCTGGGTGTTTTCTATGTATATACGAAAAAAAATTATCTATGTATTTGTATCAGTTGTCTAGTACCCATAACACAAGCTTTAGCTAGCTTAACTTGGGGAAAAAAAATGTGTATAATTTCGGACTTATCCCAAATAAGGAATTCCTCCCTAGTGAGTGAGTGAGAGGAATTGTGGAGTGGTGGAGGCAAGTAAAAATAATACTTTTAAAATACAATGCAAACACAAATATATAAATTAATATAATATAAATAATAAGAAAATATATTAATATTATAATTGGGATATTTTACATTATGCAGAATTAAAAAAATGTATACTAGAGCATAATAATATAACGCAAAAAACTAACATCTAAATCGTTACAATTTTTATATTCAACTAGCTACTCACCCCGGCTTTGTACGGGTATACATGTATTATATACTTCCTCTTGAATCACTCAATCCATTAAAAGAAACCGATTCAAAATCCGTTGCGTAATATTAAAGATTTAAGCGTACATAGGGACAGACAGCCACATCGACTTTGTTTTATACTATGTAATGATGATAAACGTCTCTAACAGACAGACATAAAAGCTGATTAGTGGTGTCGATGTATTAATAGATTGTAGTTTTTTTGTTGGAGATGGTGACCTTGTCGCTAAGCGCTATTCCCGTGACAAACCAACAATTGTATAGGTATACATTTCACGTTTAATTATTTTTAGTTTTCCAATTAACTGCCTAATCATTAACCGGTTAACTGTTAATGAACTGATGCCACACAATTAAATAATGTGTTATTTTTTCATTAAACAACATCATAAACCTTTATTGTTTACGGTTCGTGTATTATTAACTAGCTACTCGCCCACGGCTTTGCTCGCGTTAATTTATCCCCATAGGGGTGGAATTTATCAAAATCCTTTCTTACGGAATGCCTACGTCATAGTAGCTTTATGCATGCAAAGTCTCAGCCTGATCGGTTTAAAATTGACAAAGTTTCATACAAACTTTCATCCCCTATTTTATCCCTTTGGAGGTAGAATTAATCAAAATCTTAGCTCGGCATCCAAGGCATCCAAGTCATAACATCTACCTGCATGCCAAATTTCAGCCCGATCCGTCCAGTGGTTTAGGCTGTGCGTTAATAGATCACTACGTCAGTCACCTTTGAGTTATATATATTTAGATATATAACTTCGTCTAGAATCACTCTATCTACTTAAAAAAACCGCTTCGAAATTTGTTGCGTAGTTTTAAAGACTTAAGCATACATAGGGACAGACAATTTATACATGCCCCGTATGAAGGAAAGGCAGTTGGTTAGTTGCTTCATCATCATCATCATCGCAGCTCGAAAGAAGTCCACTGCTGGACATAGGTTAGTTACATAATAAAGTATAAATTTTATTAATTTTTATTGGTCTAATATTTAGGTGCAGCTTAATAATAATATCTCAGGACAATTTACCCAGACCGATAGAAACAATCATACTCATGAATACAAATGTTTGTGCCGTGCGAGGAATCGAACCAGCGACCATCGGATGTAAAGCAGTGTGCTAGACCACTAGACCACCGAGGTCGTCAAATGGTTATGGGTACTAGACAACGGATGATAATAATAATGATAATAATTATAGGATGATGAGATGAGCATGAGGTCACGTCAATTAGCGCATCGTGGCAATCACCAGGAAATTAACATGATGATTTCCAGGGAGAACTGCGTGGAGGTCAACCTGGTACTTCACTGACAATGGGGTCAACAGTCTGCATTACTAACACAATAATTAACAGCTTGTTATTTTTTTTTATTAAATGTATACCCGCCTGCCTAAGAAGTTTGCTGGCGGGGTTTGGAGGATGATAGAATGAGCATGACGTCAGATCAGTTAGCCCATCACGATGGTTTCCAGGGGGAACCGCGTAGAGGTCGACCTGGCATGGTAAATTGCTAGCAATGGAGTTATTAGTCCACATCACTAACAATCCCCTTTCGCCACAGCTTGTTATTGGTGCTAGGTAGTATTAGTATGTACATATATTTTTGTGAATAGCGTCACAAATGTTATTTATTCATAGACGGACTCGGTGGTCTAGTGGTGTAGCACACCGCCTTACTTCCGATGGTCGCGGGTTCGATTCCTCGGGACAAACATTTGTATTCATGATTATGATTGTTTGTCTATGTACTTGTATATTTACAAAAAAAAATTAAGTGTGTAGTATATATCAGTTGTCTAATACCAATATAACAAGCTCTGCTTACGTTGGAACTAGACAGCGCTGTGTTAATTGTACAGGGTGATATCTAGTATATCTTTTAAAAGAAAAAGTTACCAAGCTGCCAGTATACAGTATTAACGTAAGTACGTAAATCTCTAAAATCAAAGCCTTAATTAAAATGGGACATGTCATCAGAATCACGAAATTCAAACGTAATCGCGCTTTTCCGTCCCTAGCACAAATTATATACTGCAAAGGCTTTTGTACAGGGTTGCCAACCTTACAATATATGGACCCGTACAATATATATACCATTATCACAATAGAACCTTTTAATCCCGTACATAAAAAAAAAGTAATAAATCTCGTAAACTATTAACTCAATTTGGCTATTTGATCTCGTACATGATAAAAATAAATAGACTTAATTTAATAATTAATAACTTAAATTTAAATTTAGAATTGTATTTTTTTTAATAGTTTACTAGCAGCTAAAGGCATTTATTATATTTTATAGGAATGTTAATAAACATTCATAAAAAAAACATTGTAATCCAACGTGGCAACGAGGCAGCGTACGCAAGATACTGGCAGCGTTGCCTCTTTGAATGACCGTACTTAAGTTCTGTCTTTAAAATTAATTATTATTATATATCAATAAATACATAATTAAGATTAATTATATATTGAGAAAGTGAAGTCTGTAAACGGGAATCGCCCAAGTTTTATACCTACCTAAACATAAAAAAATCTTGTATATCGTCATCGATTTTGTGTAATCAAAATTAAAAAAAATATCAATACATCATACAAACTTGTACACGAATAAGTTCTCGTAACGAACACCAAAATACTCATATTCGAACTAGTTTTTTTATGGAATGGCAAACTAGCTGATGATCTACCTGGTAACTGGTAACCGTAGCCTATATACATCAACAGCATCACGTTATCATGTGACACCTGTGATACTCATGCGTTGACATTCCAGAGGACTATCTTGCCATGCCTCTTATAATATACACTTAATCTACATTCTACAACTGAAACACAGTTTCTTCTGATAACATTATTTTTGTCTTTTTTTGGGATTCATGTACCCTAAATCTTCTTTCGTTTCTTTGGGTGAGAGGAGCACCGTGGCGCACCTGGAAACAGATATGGTAACACAGTGTCTAGGCTGGTCTATCTCTCACCACAATGGCAACTTAAACCAGCTAAGTGTGATGAAGACAATCCCATCACACCTGTTGTAATATGGACTCTAATCTCCACATTTATCATCTCTCTTCGTACCTATACTAAATAACAAAAAAAAAAAATTAAATACGATACCGCTGCATCCAAAGTTAGCTCTACCAATATTCCATGAGGGGCAGGGAATTGTCAGTGATGTGGATTAATGATGGTACATTAAAAAGTCAGGTTGACCTCCACGCGGTTTCCTTTGGAAACCATCGTGATAAATTCCCTGTGAATGAGTCACAAGGAGCTTATTGACCTGACTTCACGTTCATCCTATCATCCTCCACTGGTGGGCCGCCAACGTCACCATTATCATATACTAAAAAAATATATAAAATACATATACATACAGCTACGTCTAACCTATTTAACTTCTAATCTTGGATGGTATAATCTGTTTTAGAGTCATTGCGAACACAGTCCATAAAAATCATGCAGATATTCTTTTCTACAAACATCATAATTAGATATATATATAGATAGTATAAAATATCCACGCACGGTTGGCATCCCTGATTTTTATATAAGGATAGCGTTTACATAAACGTGTGTATGTGTTAGGTTGCGAGGCGGTGCGCGTGCGACGGTCTTGTTCCACTCAGTCGCATTTGAACATACGCCGCCACCGCGTCCGGACGTATCTAGCGGCGCGCTGTTGAAGAACATAAAAATAGTGAAGTGTTGTCAGTGTTAGTGGAAGATAATTTCCAGTGCACATTTTGCCGAATAGAAAGTATTACTCTGTTTTTCTATTGGCAACAGCGAGGTGTTACGTGATAGCTGCTACTCCACTTTACCGTTTGAGGTATGCTGGTTTCACGTTTTTTTCAGTGGCTTACCAATTGGGGAAATATTTGATACAATGTTGTAATGATTTATAGTTACTTAGATTAATCTTATTACTAATATAAACGCGAAAGTTTGTGAGTATTGATGGACGGATGTTTGTAAACCTTACAGAAAATCTAACGAAACGATTTTGTTAAAACTTTACAATAAAATAGCTCATACATCAGAATAACACAGGCTATATTTCACGCGAGTGTAACCACGGATACAGCTACTATATATATAAAAACAAGATTAGCAATCGACACAGAGGTGTATACAATTTAATTTATATTGTATTGGATGTTAAAACTTACATCATTACTCAAATTAAAGTTTCCGGCGATGTTTAATTTGTATAGATGGGAAATTAGTCAAATTTAACGCAGGCACGTGATGTAGGTACATAAATTCTACTTATGATTCAGGCATTAAAAAATGATTTAAAATAATTTAGTATCTTATATATTAATATTTTCAATAATTTTTCGCAATATAAGCGTTTATTGTTATCGTAATTGATCGTTTGTATATCGACATCTAATTTAAACTTTATTCGTTACAATAAAGTTTAAAGAAATATAAGTTACAATTACTTAGTAATTGTAACTTTTATTTCTTTAAACTTTGTAAATTGTAAGTATTATTTATAATCTATTACATTTATAATTGTAATAGATAATAAATGAAAGTTACAATAAATAAGTTATTATTAAATCTAAGTATGTAATACGGTACTTTATTTAACATATATAAATAGAGTGTAGAATGAATACATTTCTAAGTGAAGTAGAGTCTAGGAGACCAATAAAAATGATTTTGCTTTGATTGTACAATCTTTTATAATATTTACTTTGAAAATCTTGTTACTCAGCAGGTATCGATTGCAGTTTATTGCCAACTATTTGATACTGTTTCTCAATAATTACAATGATTTATTCAATTCTATAAACGTTCGTACTGCATTCTGTTGTTACGAGACGAAAGTATTTGTTTCGAGTTTAAAAACTTCGTATCAAATGTAATTATTTAGATGTTTTATAGATTCTATAATTGTATGAAAGTGTAGTAGGTAGTAATATATTAAATTTCAGTCAGTTTTAGATTAGAATATTAAGATTCTGTTAGCAAATTCCGTCCACATTAGAAATAAAAGATACGTTTATGAGAGTAATAAAATAGCATATAACAATTTGAATCTGGATTTCGTTGACGATGGTATGGTATATTAGACTCCATTCTCCGCAATTAGCCTCACATTCGGGCCGTTGTGCGTGTAGAGCCAGACTACTAACAAAATAGCATATAACCGTTCCGAGGATTTGTTTTCGTTGTTTGAATCCAGGATTACGTGAGCCGCCGTTTCTTCATTCAAAGCAGCCCCGACAGAGGGGGCTGTCTGTAGCATCAATTTTGTATAAGTGTTTGTTTAAGGAACAATGGCCCGTTATTGTCCCTATCATTATTTTGAGGTTTTGTCTATCTAGATTAAGTAGACGTGTTTGTTTCGTTGACGATATTAAGTTAGGTCATCTCACTAATATTATAAACGCGAGAGTTTATGAGTACAGATGGATAGATGAATAGATGGGATTTGTTAAATACTGTTTAACGTAAAAATGGATTTTGATGAAACTTTACGGAAATATAGCTTATACATCGGAATAACACAAAGACTATAAGTTTTATGCGAGTGAAACCGCGGGTACTGTTAGTTGTTTATAAATGGTATTTATCTATTTATTGGATAATAGCTTCTTAATGCATTTAATAAAAATACACATAATCTTCATTATTGATGTAGAGCAACTAAAAAGCCTATTTTAATTATATTATATATTAGGGATGATGTAGTAGGTATACCACAATTAATCGACATAAGGTTATGCCTCATAACCTGACACTTTTTTTTTATTCATATTATCTATGATTAGAATTTAGATGTATTCCTAGCTCTATTATTGCAACCTAGTTGACCCGCGATACTTCATCTGTATCCCACTTACTTGACAATAATCATTATATGTTGCCTAATTTATTTGTTATATTTTTAAATTCCAGCCTATGTATTATTTTAATGTAGAAACTATATTACTGCAAAGTTTCATCAAAATTCCTTCAGTTGTTTTTGCTTGAAGTAATAAACAACTATACATCCATTCTCAAAAACTTTTGAGTTTATAATATTAGTGAGATATAGAAAATAGTCAGAGCAATACAAACAATCATACTCATAAATAGATAGATAATAGTTTTTATTTGTATGTAACCAACGTTAGTTACATACAAATGTGGTTAAACAGCTACCAGCTAACTAACCACCGAAACCCTCTAACTGCAACTATATCTAAAATGTGTAACCGCGTTATTGGAAATTTAACTAGCGAAAAAAAACCAGTACAAGTGTAACCATCAGTCGGGTGACACAGTGGATTTTTTGTAAACATTCACAAACAAGACGAATTGACGAAAGTTCATTACGTAAATGCTTTTTGCCGTCGGCTTGCAACGAAATAGGGAGTTTGAGGTAAAATATTGTTGCGAAATAATACGAGTTGGACATTCTCTATAGAGAGAACGTCCATATTGGCATCGTAAGGCGGATTTAGACTAAAGTAACGGTATCTAGAAGTCTTAATGCTACGTTTACATTCAGCCGCTTCCCCTGCCAATCGCGCTGTCGGAAATATTGCCAGGCGACAACTGAGCGAGAGGGATCAATGTAAAAACACGCTGCCAGTCCTTTGACTCGCGCACGAAAAACCGGCAATCGAGGGAGCACCGGGCAGCGCCAATGGCATGGGAAGTGTTTCCACTCGTGTTTACACTCTCGCGCTGCTCACTTCTATGCTCACTTCCCTGCCCACTCGGGCAGAATGTAAATTGAGCATTACAAATCTACTAGAACATAGTGGGAAAATTAAAATACTTACAAGAATAATTTTGGCACATGTTATATTTTGATATTTGATATTTATTTATTCAGTAACAATTTATATTGTGTTTGAAATTATACAATTTTTGCTGCTAAGAAATTCATCAACACTGTAAAATGATTGCTTCGACAGAAAACAACGCAACCTCCTCCTAAAAAGCTTCCAATTATGTATTTTCTTTAAACTATTGGGCAAAGAGTTGTAAAGCCTTACTGCTTGGAAACCCTCACCATGCTTCACAATATTAAGGGTTGGTTTTATAATGTTAGGGTAATCCATTCTGCGAGTACTTTCCCTTATGTCTCGATTCTTCCTGGTCTCACTACCAACAATACTTTTTACAAAATCTGTTAATAGCACCAATATGTATAAGCATGGTACAGTCAAAATTCTGTATTCTTTAAAATATTGCTTACAGGATTGTCTTAAGGACTAACATATATAGAAAATAATAAGACATAAAATAAAATATTAATACAGACCACAGTCACTATGGCAATCTGTCACGGTAGCGATACACCATTCCCTTAAGCAACTAATCTTCCTTCATGAAGTTGTACAGCATTTTTAGGCGGTTTAAGATAATGTTAATAATTGCAGAATTTTAAATAGAATGAAATGCCGTTAGGTGGAAAAATGCAAAGAAAAAGTAAGCATAAAAGTTCTTTAAATGTTCTTAGGATACGTTTTTTGTTCTTCAATTTCTTTTGTTATGATTGGGATGGAAAATATGCTGACGACCCACCTGACAGAAAACGGGAATCAGCGTTTATTTCTATGAACTGCTTAATGGACTTGTTTTCAATGTTATTTCAGAGGAATAGAATAATAATAATAATAATATCAGGACAATTCACACAGCGCCATCTAGACACAAGTTAAGCTAGCTAGAGCTTGTGTTAGGAGTACTAGATAACTGATACAAATACATAGATTCTTTTTTGTAAATACATACATATTATACGTAGAAAACACCCAGACCGATACAAACAATCATACTCATGAATACAAATATTTGTGCCGTGCGAGGAATCGAACCCGCGACCATCGGAAGTAAGGCCACTAGACTATCGAGGCCGTCAAAGTTAATCTGAGAGGCATTGGATACGTCTAAAACTATAATAAACTCAAATACGCAATACACTCACCGAAATGTAAGTTTTCTTAATGTACGATAAGGAATTGGTACCTCCGCCAGCGCTATCAGATTGCGCTGACGGGCACCAGTGGAGGACGATAAGATGAACATGAAGTCAAGTTAGTTAGTATCTTGACAAGTTCACCAGGTTTCTAGGGGAATCGTGTGGATGTCAACTTCACATGGTATATTGCGAGCTCTGAGGTCATCAGTCCACAATACTTATCCCCTTTTGCCCCCTAGTATGATGTATTAGGTACCTAAAATACAGTACAATTTTACTATAACCCCATACATAACATATATACATATTATATATAAAAATTACACGTCACGCTGTTTGTCCGCGATGGACTCCTAAACTACTGAACCGATTGCAAATTTGATTTGCACATTGTGTGCAATTTGATCCAACTTGAAAGATAGGATAGCTTACATATCAATTTATAGTCGCAATATTAATCTATTCAAGAACCTAGCCACAGCAACGCGTGGCCGAGTCTGCTACATATATTTAGATAATACCACTGCCTACCCAATTTATCATAATAGTCGTGAATACAGTATATTTATTAGAGTACAATTGTTAATTCTAATAAACTGTTATCTTGTCCATCATCCATTTCCGCCATATTTAATGAACATTTCATGTTAAATGAAATACGCGTCGTTAAAGTAATTTATGCTAATTCCAATACACTGGTGGGATTTTGTTTTTTTAAAGGAATCCAGTTGAAAATTGTCAGTATTTCAAAGAAGCAAATGACTTGAATACTTGTTACATTATTGAAATGTGTTTGAAACGAACACAGTTTATATATATAATTCGTGGTGTTAATAATATGCTTTAATTTTAAAATTGACGGCCTCGGTGGTCTAGCTGTATAGGAGGCCGCTTTTCTT